AGCGGGGGCGGCTCCGCGGGGCCCCGGGCCGGGATCGCCGCTGGGGAGCCCCGGCCCTGTAACCCCGGGAGTGCAGCGAGGGGTGAGCCGTCTTGCACAACAGTTGTTTCCTTTCATTTTCCATTTCCCAGTGGCGCGGTAGGATGCTCTTCCCCCAGAGCAGGCTTTGTGCGGGTTAGGTTAGATCTGCCAGGTCCTCTGCTTGTCTTAGGAATGCAGGGGGGGACACCCACACTTCCTTAATTGAGCGTTGCTGGCCCATATTAAACACCCCATCTTCTACCAAGACAATGTCCTGCCTTAGCTCCATGTATTTGATTATGTTCCTCTCAATTCTGACTTCTCAACAGGGGACTTAAATAGTTACTTGTACTTCAAGTTCCTGGCTTGCTCATGGCATGTATACAGTCCTTTGCTTACAACTATTGCTCTAGGCTATGTGACCTGCTGGTGGAAAGTTAAAACAGCATTCCGGTTTTATTTTGTGTTCTGTTTTGCTTAATTTTTTGTATTGCCTTCATATGGCAGTGTTTCCTAACTTTGTCATGACGATTTGACTTTGGAAAAATCAATGTCAGTATCTACGAATGTTTCTTGTGGTGCTGTGTAGTCAAGAGCAATACTAGACCCAGCCAGGAAATTAAAATGTTCCAGAGACAAGGCTAAGCTTAGTAAATACTGTGTCTGTTCTGAGGACTAGCCTTGATAACATTGTGATCCGTGAATAGAAGCCTTTGCTGTATGTGCTGGTGGTCTTCCTCCCCTCCCCCGGCTTTCAAACACAATGCAGCTCTACTGGTGGGCACGGTGCTGCTGCCCATCTCCGCCTGTGGGAGTGCAGCTGGGAGCACAGCTACTGCTGGCACCCATCAGGACCTGTTCCCGGCGTAGTAAAATATGGGAAAGCTGCTGCATTAAAAAAAAAAAAAGGCAGATTATGAACTAGATTTTGTAGACCAATCTTCACGTGACCTGCTCTGTAGCTCTCTGCGTTTGTGAACTAAGGCATGTTTTAACACATAGCAGCTTTCATTAGGTAATTCCTTCTCCAGGCAAGTTCTGTTGAAAAATATTCATGTTTGTTCTTTGGGCCGGCATGAAGCATGTAAAATTCATTGTTTGTGATAACCTTTTTTGGATAGATATCTTAAAGGCCTTTGAATAAGGACCCTGTTTTTGTTTTGTTTTGTTTTTTGATAGATGAGCTAAACATTGTTCTATTTTGTGTCATTCACTTCTGGGGCGACTGTGCATCAAGACTTAAACAGATGCTTCAGTAACTGTATAGTGTATGGTAATGCAGCACTGTAAATCTCATTCCTCTGTTTATCAGTCCTACAGGAATAATTGGATTACCCAAAACTGTGGCTTGTTTACACTTTCTTTCTTTTTGGCCCTGGAATTATGAGTGCATAATTTCTAACCAGTTATGATAATTTTGGCTTGTCTTTTTAGTGTAAATAAAGAACCATACTTGAGTGAGTTACTTTATTTCCAATAGGACATTAACTTTTATGATAAATAACAATACTTACAAGAAGGGCAGACTTCCCACCAAGCAGCCATGTGTTTTTTTGATCTAAGCAGAAAAAAAGAATCCTTTTTCCCTTCCCTTCAAGGGTCTCAGGCTATTTTTGCTTTAGTTGAATCTAGATGCTGGCATTTTATCTATTTATGTACTACTAATAAAGAATGCTGTATCTTGCATGCATTTTCCATTTCTATAACAAAAGTAAGAGTTGATTTACAGTGTTAGGAAGTGTGTTGTAGTCCGATTCCTCCAGTAATTTTGGTTTTTAAAATTTTTTTATTTAGTATTATAGAGAGTGTGCTGAATATAGGGGGTTTTTTAGGCTTGGGCATTGAAGTTTGAGCACTACAGAAAACTGGAGGATGAAACTTGCAATATACTGCATTACAATGTTTGTTTAGTGATTTCATTAGTTGCAGTATCAGTACTGGTGTGTTTCATCCAAGAAACTTTGGGTGCTTTTCAAGGTTGTGAATTTAGTGTTGATATATAAATGTGAGACAATACCAGGAGCCTCATTTTGTGCTATTTAGAAAAACTCTGGAATTAAGCTTTTAAAACTAGGTATCTAATGAAAAGTTAGAAGTTGGAGTGTTGTGTTATTCCTGTTCTGTTTGTGTGGTAGTTTTTTTTTATGTACTGTTTCGATACCCTAAAGACCAGTTCTTTTCACAGTGCAAGTAAAAGTCTGGAGGCTTGCTTGCAGATTGCTGATCCAGGGTTTTGTTAGTGAATGCTTGCAGTTCTCCTTGCTTTGCGATCTCCTTGCCTTCTTTGTTCTTAAGTGTTTTTGTGTGGCTTTACCATTTGGCATTGAATGGCAGAATAGTTCACTGACATAACACAGGGAGCCGTTTCAGACTTGCTGGGTCTTGTTATGTTCTGATTTTAAATATTTTGCTCGTATTTTTAAGCTTCATTTATTGGCATTGTCAACATTGATTTGATCTTAGTTCTCTTTTCCTGAAATTACAGCTCTGTTGGCTCTTATTTAGGGGGTGAGAGGTTGCTAGGGCTTTAAATGAGCATCTTTATGGTATGGTGTTTCAAGACTCCAATTCCCTCTTGCTTTTTCTACTGTTTATTGCTTCCCCTGTTCATTTTTAGTACTAGAGTCCTCTTTCCCTGAGGGTAGGAATCAAACATCTTATGAATCATTGCTTTCCACTCATATTGGTCATAGTAGCAATGATGATTTGTCATACCTTGTACAGGATGATTTGTTTTGCAAAGCAAAGTAGGTAGATCTGTCACAACGCACAGAACCGTATGAACTGCTACAGACTCCTCTGTGCTGGGATGTTGTGCTGCCGTGCAGTTTGGGTCTTATGCAAAGTAAACTGAGACAGTGACTGACCTGAAACATCATGTAATGGGACAGGATGTTCTTATAAAATCTTTTAGTGATAGCAAACCAGGAGATGGTTTTGAAGTTACAGACTTCAGATTTGTGGAGACCTAAATCTTTTTCTGATTACTAGAGGTTAGTAATCCTGCATAGAGACAATAACAATGCTGCTTATGCAAGTTATCAGAACAAGTTGCAGGTTCTTGCTTTTCTTTCTTTTTAACCGGGAGTGGAAACTGGTACGTTTTTATTCCTGCAAATGATGAGTCCCATGAGGTTAGAGTTCAAGTATGTCAGAAAGGGAAAACTTTGGTGGGGAGCACGGCTACTGTGACTCTGTGACCAGTAAGGACTCCTTTCACGCTTCAAAAGTGACATGAGGGTAAGCGTCTAGTGTCTTGAAAGCTTAGGGTCAGTTTTGGGGTGTGAGCTTGAAGAGTGGTGAATCTCAGTGCCAGAAGTCCAGGTTGTGCCCAGGTGGGTATTTAAAAAAAATAAAAATGATATTCGAACCAGATGGAGTCTCTCGCTCATACTTTTTTTGTCATCACAGAAACTGAATGGATCTGGCCTGAGGCAGTGACTCAAACTGATACAAAGAGCACTTCCTCTCTCTTTTTTTCCTCCAGACTGAGACTGGTACAGATAGGGAAGGTGTTTGCAGACTTTCCCCTCTGCCCTTCCCTGAACTTTTAACGTTCAAAAAAATTGGTGCATGGTTAACATCTTTAAGGAAAAAAAAAAAAATGCTTGAAAAGGGTTGTCTGCCATTTTATTCTGGAGATAGAGACCTATCAGGATGGACTTAATATGGAAGGGTAGTATGTGTTTTGGGCACTTGATCCTAACATTCAAGTCCAGCCATACAAAGGGTATTTCTGTATACTCAGCAAAAAGTCCCTTTAAGACTGGGAAAATGTATATGGTAGGCACCTGAACATACTTTGTTTATTTTGTCTGCTGTGTTAAGCAATAAAATATAAAAGAAAGATTTGAAACATGAGAGCAGGGTATCCTTGTTTCTCACTACTTGGGAAGATTTCTTCACCTAGCACCATCTGAACCTGTTGCAGTGTCTGTGTAAAATCCCTTTGTTCTGCAGTGGAATGTAATTAAAGGCCTGATCCAGATTATGTAGGGACAGGCAAGGGATGGGGTTAATAGTATCTGATCTATCACTTGTCTTAATCTGTCAGCAGCTAACATGAAAACTTTGAGGTCCTTAATTCATGCCTTACAGAACATAACATGTAAACCCTTTTGATGAGCTTTAGTGCTCAAGTTGTTGAATAAAAATTGTCTGTTCAATTAACTTTTATCCTGGAAAGATGTCACAACCCTATAGTTTTTAGAACTGAAATTTTTAAGAACTTTTAAGAATTGTGGTCTTAAAACAAACATGCTAGAAGGAAGCTGTTGCTTGATGTTGTTTTGTTGTCATAGAAAAGAAGGTGGCTGACCATCCTTTTGAAAGTAGTGACTACTGTTGACACAATAGACTGAAAAAATGTTTGCATGGTTCACTCTTTTTATGCTGATGGGGTGCCACAAGTGCTTTCTGTTTATTGTCCTCATTCTTTTCTTTTTTTTTCTTTGTCAAATATCTGAGTCTCTTAGTACCCTTCCTGTATTTCTTTTTCGGAGTCTGTCGGTTGACTAGGAGTTAGTGGTATAAAACCATACTTCATGTTTTTGCATCTGTCATCTATTTCCAAATGACCCTTCTCTCATCTCTTATGTTCTTCACACTGTTTATCTTCTGTCATTAATTAAACTTTGCACAGACAGACAGCCTTTTATAGTACTATGTTGCCATTATTTTCACACACAGAAAAGAAGAAATAAGGCGCCTTGAATAGTCTGATTTCGTGTAATAAGGAGGATGACAGCTGTCATGCTGTCCAGTGAAAATAACGTGTTGAACTAATCAGACTTTTAAATTTTTTTTCTTGCAGGAAGCAAAGCCTTCAGCTGAGGACTTAGGAGATAAGAAGGAAGGAGAATACATTAAACTCAAAGTCATTGGGCAGGTGAGTTTTTACATAATTACTTGTTGACATTTGGTGGAGGTGTGAGTTTTGGTATTGTAGAAATGAATAAATAAATGTTGATACTTTCAGTTCTTCGCTGTGGATTCTCTCCTACCGTAAACTACTTGCCAATTGCCCGTAATGTGTGTCAGTATACTATGGTGTGGTTTGTGGTGGTGTTTAGTTGTTTTGTTTTCTTTTTAAAGATTGAGTAATTTATCCTTATGACTTGGGATTTGGTCAGTGTGATCTCTGTCTTACAACTAGGAGACCTGAGGCATGGAGAGATGAATTTATCCTAAGATATGAATATGTGGCAAAATGGATAAGTTCAGGTCTTCAGAGTTCATGTAGTACGCTAAGCATGAGGTCATCTTTCTTGGACGGGGATAGGAAGAGGATTTTGTTGGCTGGCATGTTGGTAGATGTGAATGCTGGATTATAAGTCTGAATTCAAGTTGTGTTGGAATGTGAACGTCGAGATCCTTCTTGAACAGAAGTCCTTCTGTGCAAAGAACTCGTAGCTCATATGACTTGACTCAGTGCTGTTTGTTGGAGTATTAGCGCGATTGCTGTGCTGTTGACTGGAGATGGGTGACTTAAAGTAGGACTAGCTCACCTCTTGCTGGTTTAACTGCCAATGATGAGAACACATTCAAAAGCTAAATGTGACCCACATTATTTTTGCACAGAACCTCTTGCAGTCTGTTTTATCTGTAGCCATTTTGACAGTTGTAGTTACTCGTATCTTATGACTGGTAGGGGAAGGACTATAGAATAATGACACTTAAGATTTCTCCTTAGGTTAGTGTTGTGTTGCCAAGTCTGCCTGTATTCTAACTTCTAGATAATTACTGTAATTGAACAAGGCTTTGTATATATTTTGAGGTGCAAGTTTTAACTTGTCTCTTTTGGAATCTTAGAGCAGAAGTCCTCTGCATATGTATGTTTGTATTTCATAAGTACATCAGCTGGGTAAAGATGGAAGCACAGACTGAAACATGTATGGTTTTTAGTGCTTTTAAATCCAAAACCTCCATAGTGAGCCTAAGGCTATATTATGCCATCTGTTTTGAAATAGTGCTTCCTGTGGAAGTGCACGATGAATTTAGCAACTGATCTATCATCCTGGAGGTTCATGTTATGATGTAGCAAGGTATGCACGGTGATAATTATATTGCATTCCATGGTAGTTTTACATAAGTTGTTTTTCATTAAAGTCTTAAAATTAGCATAGGTAAAGCAAGCAGCTACTACAAAGAGAGTAACTTTTTTCTTTTCTGTTCTTAGGACAGCAGTGAAATTCACTTCAAGGTGAAAATGACAACACACCTCAAGAAACTCAAAGAATCATACTGTCAAAGACAGGTTTGTGGAACAATTACAGTCTTTTGAAGAAGAAAATTAAAAATGCCAAACGTTAGCTTTACTTTTCTCACTGTTCTTTCAAATAAAGACATTTGTTGAGACAGTCAAGCTTCTGTCTAGTTACCAACAGGACAGCTATCTCACAGTACAAATATTTCCTAATTTCTTTTGACAAGTAAAGGTATTTCTATTTAAGGCAGTTGTGAATTTTGTGGTAAGTTAAAATTACTGTTTGAAAATATATAGTGGCTGCTTAGAAGACATAGAAGTTACCTTTTAAAATGCGCAGGCATGCAGTTATAGTTACTATAAAATCTCCTGTCTCCAAGTGAAATTCCCTTAAAGCTGTATAATACTGCAGCTTAGGATGAGAGCAGCCTTAGGCATTGTTACCGCCACTAATATGGTAACTGATTAACACTAGCTATTATGCTGTATGTTAATGAAATCTGTAACATTAATTGTGGACATGGGTAAATGACAACTACTGTTACAGATCAAAAATGTATCTTTACTTCCAGATTCTATGGCAGATATTGTGAATTCAGTGCTGCTATTTTCAGAAGCCCTGGCCTAGTTTACCCTCAGCTTTGGGGATAGATGCCTTGTGTGGCCTTTTCTTGAGTAACTATGTTGGAGTACACTTCGGGAGATATAATCGTAAGAAATAATACTTTGGGTTTTTTTCTAAACACCTTGAGACAAGTTGAACTTGTCCATTGAAGTGGGGTTTTTTATAGAATGTATTTTTTTTTTGCTATCCTTTTGGAGTAGGAGAAAAGAAAAGATCAAACACCAGATATGTTTGTAGCCAAATCCACATGATTAAAATAGTGATTCATTTGGAAAACTTCAAATTTTAAAATAAGATCTTGGAAATAATTCATGCAGCAGTCTTGACTGATGAAAATGCATGTGTGTGAAATTTGTTGTTTGGTTTTTTTTTTGAAGACAGAAATAGTTACTTGAATGAACACAGTTATATCTATCTCCCGGGCTGAATTGTGAAGAGTCTTTTATTTCCTTCAGCAACAGTCAATATGGTTTTTGGTGTGAAGTAACCTTTTTCTGGTAAAGGGACCATAAACATTTCTTCCAAGTTAGCCAGTGGGATTGTCAAAACAGTGTGAAAAGCTGGTCTTTTCTGTGAATTTTTCTGCCTAGTTATTTGCAAGCAGTATTTCTGAAATCTAATTGATGTACAAAACATTGTATTTCACTTGCATTTGTTTTGCTTATAACTTGAAAGAGAAGAAAAAGATTGAGGTATTTGCCTCATCTATTGAGGTGAATATGATATTTTGTCATAACACAGTAGACATACTGCAACTTATTTACCATTAGGCAGCTACTTTCTCCCGGTTTAAATGTTGTTCCTTTTTGTTCCCCTCAACTCTGCTCTTCCTTGTCCTCAGTGCAGAGCTTTTGCAGAACTGATAATGGTAAAGGTTGTTATTCCTTCCTATGGTGATACAAGATTGGGAAAGAAAGGGTAGATGGTCATGAAGTTCTTTACTGTTGTCTAGGATTTTTAATAAAACTCATATCCAGTTCAGAAAAAGGCAGAACCTTAATGTGTAATGTTTTCTTGGAACTGAGGGTGCAGTCAGTACCGTATTTATAAGTTATAAAAAGACAGGGGGGGAAAAAAAAACTAAGGAAACTTCCAGGTTGTTGAACTAGAACTCCAGCAAGACTTTGGAATAAACACACATTTCAGCAGTGTTATACGTTCCTTGACTCACTGTGGTCTATGTGGTTGCAACAGAGTAGCTGAGCTCCTCAGGTAATGGAAACTAACACCTTCCTTTTTGACTTTCACATGTGTTGTTTTTATTAAAAATATTTTTCTTGTAAATTTGTACAAGTTTCAATAAGTTTTTTTTCTTGTACATCTGTTTCTTTTTTTAGGGTGTTCCAATGAATTCACTCAGGTTCCTCTTCGAGGGTCAGAGAATTACTGATAATCATACCCCCAAGGAGGTGAGTTTCTTTCTCGAAAAAAGGTGTTACATATTTCACTGGAGAAACTAAATGCCAAATTAGTTAGTTTCGCTGTTCTACTAGACTGTTAACCACAATGAAGGTGTTTCTTGAAATATAGCCAACTTTTGGGACTATATTTAGTCAAATACAGTCTGACTATATTTGTCTAACTAGAATCTTTAGTTATGCCATTCAGAAAGATACTGACCAGACTTTCATGTATACTGTTGTTTCAGAAGGGAAGATGTGGTCACTGTTTACCAGAGAGAAAAAAAATGAAGGGAACTTTCCAGTTCTTGAGCTAGAACTTCAGTGTGACTTGGGAATAAATATGTATTTAGTTCACATTTATTAGAAGAAAGGGTAAATAAACAGAAGACAGGTTACTTCTGCTGTCCAGTGACTTCCACCAATTGTTATGACAAAGCAGGAAGAAACACTGTTATAATAATGACCTTCTGAAAAATTAGTCTAACTCGTGTCCTGTGAAATCGAACAAGTTACCCTCTTTAAGATAACAGTTGCAAACAGGCTTTGAGTTCCAGTCTTAGCTGTATTGTGAGTTAGTAGTGTGCTATATATAATTCACGTGGCTGTACAGCTGGTGCATTCACTATGATGTTGGTTACATTCCTGTGCATCTGTTGCCCAAGAAGGGATTTACAGAAAGGTAAAGCTAGAAATTTCCAGGCTGGTGTTTACTGCTCCACAAGCAGATTTAGACCTCACTGATAAGGCTTTTGCTTTGAATGAGATGTATAAGACTGAAGGAAAAGGGCTAAAAATCACGATTGTTGGCTAGTGAGGTGGTGACTGAAATTTTTTTCACCCCTTTGATGAATTATGATGGGACAGAGGAACAAACCATTGTATAACTTGTCTAGGACCTGCTCTGAATTCAGTACACTAGATTTATAACAATTATATGCTGTTTTTCTCTGTTCTCACAGCTGGGGATGGAGGAGGAAGATGTGATTGAAGTTTATCAGGAACAGACGGGGGGTCACTCAACAGTTTAGATCCTTCTGTTTGTTTTCTTCCCCCTTAATCCTTTTTTATTTTTAAATAATAGTTCTTTTGTAATGTGGTGTTCAACACTGAATTGAAACTGGCACCCCATCTCTGGGAATTTATTTTCAAGCGTCTGGTATTTTGAATTCTCGTGCTCATTATACACTATTGTTTCTGTTTTCATTGTGCTGAACTTTTGTGATCCAGCTGCAGCCTTGCCTCCCCTCTTCCCTTCTGCCCTCCCCTTTAGAAATACACGTACACACATGCATTTGTATGTTCACTAGGTTCGTGCATTTCAGGCACGAAGGCTGTAAGATCTGCCAGGTGGGCGAGTGTTCTTAATGACTTCCATATCTGCCCTGAAGTTTTGATGTGTGACTGTTTCACTCCTGGACTATAACTTTCAGTGCGAGATGAAGTTTTTCAGAGAACTAAACTGTGGAGAAATTGTGTATCCATAACTCAGAGCTATTTTGCTTAAATTGTGCTGATGGCCCAACAAAGAAGATTACCGAGTTGGAAATGGAAAAGCTAGAACTGTTGTCATCTGTACCTTGCTCCAGAGATGGCTTTGCTGAAGACATAAAATTGAAAACCCTAATGATTCTTAAATCTTGCCAGAAGAGCCCAGAAGCATTTTAACTTCATATAGCAATTAGTACATGCAGGTATTCATGCAAGAATGTTCACAGCAGACAACTGGTGTTACTTTGACACTCTTGTTTGTACCTTTTGGCCTGGGACGTGGGTTTTGAATGGACATTGTCTGTACCAGCTTCATTTAAAATAAACAAGAAAAACAATTTTATAAACAACTTGCATTTTCTTTTCAAATGTTTGCAAAACCATAAAAAGTTATAATTAGGGCATGCTTTTCCAGTAGCTATATGTTGAAGCCAGAAAAAAAAAAAAGTGCTCTGTAAATATACCTCATATAAACAAAAAAATACTTTGTTTGCCCTAGCAAAATACTTGATCTGCTTGGTTTGCGGGTGACTATTTGAGACTACTAGCTGTTTGTTTTCTTGTTAGAGAGTATTCACATACAGTTACGTACAGCTTCACGTGGAAAAGGTAAACTGAAAATGCAACTTGGAAGGAAATACAAAGATGGTTTTTAATGTCTACATTTCATAGGATCGTGGCTACTATTAAATAATCTCTCTATGATGGATGACATGGAACTGTCACCAGGCATCATTATGAAGGTCCACTTCATGTTCTAGCTAGGTGCAGGTTCTAAATGGTCAGTTTGAGAACATGTTGTTGGGTATAAAAACCCAGATGGGAGGTTACGGGCAGGGTAGTGTGGAGAGAAGGCTTCTGCATTGTCCCTGCTTTAGCCTTTCTGCAGATAAATAGGACTTATTTCTGGTTTGGTTTGGTAAATCAAGTTCTCTATGAATGCCAGCTTCATTTTAAGACACATTTTAGTGCTGGCATACTTGGAAGAAATTGCAGATTTTGAATTATTAGTTTTTATGGCACTTGCTGTAAAGCTAGAAATGCATTTTCTTTCATGTTTGTGGTTTGTGTCCTGTTTCTGATCTAGTAATACTTTTGTACACGTAGCTGCACTAAGCAATTTTTTAAAGATTAAAATTTTTGTTTACAAAATGTCAGAATATGGGGCTTTTTTTTTTTGAAGTATTCTATGTAATTCAATTCTTAGGGGGAAGAGAGATTGCTACTGTGATGTAGAACAACATGGCTTCTTTGCACTTCTCTCCAATTGCTTTTTTAGAATACTAAATATATCTGCTTCAGAATACCAGAAATAAAACAGCCTTGTGATTATTATCAGATCATATTCTAATTTAAATTTGTAATATGCTCTTGTTAGTAGACAAATTCCCATTATCCCTCTCCTGCACATTAGGAACTGAGGTGCAGGGGACCATGTGAACAGAATCCAGATACCCTGGGTTTGATGCTAGTACTCTAGATGCTGCAGCAACTTTCTTTGCTTCTTACTGTTCACTCTTCTCGCCCAAAATCTGTTTTATATGCTCTTTTATATCAGCTTTCTAGTTGAAGCACTGCATTTAGTTCTCTTGAGATTATGGAGGAGGGTTTCTTGCAGAACGCGGCTTCAGGATGAAGCTCAAGGCAAAGATGTCTTTCTGTTGTAACCTTGTCCTAAAATACATCTCTATAAAGAGTGGATATGGTACCTGTGCAAACTGTTTTGACCTCTTTCTCAGACTTGTTGTGAACCCTCAAAGAGCTAGTGCCTCAACGGAGCTGCTCGTCTAAAGCAATGTCTGTACTGTTACAACTCGATGGAACAGTAATAAGAGGAAAACTGTACTCTGCCTCAAAGATTAGTATTGAGACCTTGATGTAACATGAGAAGACACACATGCTACACAAATTTTTAAGGAAGTTCATTCTTGGAAGTTGTACATTGAAATAAAACCTGAATTTTGAAGTCAAGGAGTAGGCAGACTTGAATTTTCTTCATTTCTCTGGAAGAACTAACACTTTTCAAAGAATTTCTGAAAAGATGGTGTGGAGTGGAATTTCTAAACCACTCATAGCTTTGAAGCACGTTGACTGGAAGTCAGATTGGCCTTCGTATGTTGGAGAAAACCAGAGAAGATATATTCTTTTTTTTCTTTTTTTCCTCCTGCAATGTTTCTTTGTCTTTGTTTATGTGCTTACCTCCATATTAGAAGAACTGAGTTCAGCTGTTGATGGCTGCTTTTGTTAAGTGGTTTTTTAAAAAAAGTGATGGTGGGAGAAGGAAGCCATCTTCACTGAGTCAGTTATGCACTGGAAGGTGGAAGCTAGTACTTGCTTTATTTCTAATTGTGAAATTTAATATTCATTATGGTGGTGTGTAAAAGCTGTATTGATAAGCACTTTACAAAATTATCAGCCTCAACAGATTTTCTTAAAGCTGGTGTGTTTAAAGGATTGGTATTCTTTTAAGTATAAATTTATCTACATGATGGTCAATTTGACAAAAATGAGATTTTTTTTTTTAAGTTAAATGTTGGTGGGATTTCAGCTTCAGTTAGGATGTCAGATAATGCTAAAACTTGAAGTGTTCCACAAATTTTGACTAACCATGTATTGCTCTAGAAACACTACAACTGTCTACTAGTTCTTAACTTTTCCTACTTTAAATGGAAATTATTTTTAAGAATACAATACTAAAATATCTGCTGACCTGCACCTCTTCTGAATTTTGAACTTCTGAACTTTTGAATTACTGCTGTTCAGGTACACTTTCTTAAATGAGAAGACTGGTTTCTGAGACACCATACAGAGAACTGTAGGAATTGTGCAAGTTGGAAGTAGTGTAAACTGGTTTTGTTTTGCTTTGCTTTTAGAACCAGTACTTCATGCATATTTAATTTAATGAAGTTCAGCTTCAATTTAGAGACTGCAAAAATTGATTACTCTTCTCCACAGGAGATTCTACAAGAACTGCTATACAAATTGAATCTACAAATGTTAAAACTTTCTTATGCAAGTGTTAGAGAAGCAGAAAATAAGATAAACCTGATTTACGAGAAAGAAAAGTTCTTATCTTGCTATAGTTTCTCTGTTGTTGTCTTATTGTTGATACTGAAATCAGGCCTCTTCTTAAATAGTAGCACATCTATTGCAATTTACTGGTTTGGAGGATTCCTTTAAAAGTCAGCACTGAGGTCTTCACACCTTTTGTAAACTGACGGTTCTGTTGTTTTCTCTCAACTCAAAATGGACCAAAGAATCTGGGATGAAGCAGCAAAGGATGAAAGCTAAATGTGTTCTGGCACCTCGAGGTCTGTCTGGATTCATTTTTACTGGCTGATAAAACATGAATGCTTTTACTTGCTATCAACAGGATGCACACACAGACTACTGTTGCAGTCTGGGAAAATAATTTGTGAATGAGAGTAGCATCTATCATAAAAAGGAATGTTGTGCCTCTTTTTTGGAATCAGGTTGGAACCCTGAATTAGACTGGATCTCAAAGAGCTCACTGCAATGACCCATTCCTGCCACCAAGCATTTATTCACTCTTTTGTATGGTTTTCAGGCCTAGTTTTTCAACCAGCTGAAACTAAGAAGACACCCATGGATGAGGAACATCTTGAGTGTGTTCTAGTCTGGGAGCTTCTAGAAGTGCTTGCTGGAACTGCAGATGTTCCAGATGTGCTCTTTGCCTGTGAACAGTGTTTATAATAAAGTGGATTGGAGACACAGGACAGAATTCTTCCTTGTGTTAGAAAGCTGGTGCTTTGGCTTGAAAGCTACATGCTCACTTAGCTCATTGCAGGTTCACTGGCAGTTTCTTTGACTTTGTTACAGTGGATGCAGTGCCTTCAGAGACAGTGAGGCTGGACAGGAGATTGGACTTCTTCCAGGAGCTGGCTTTGAGCAAGGTTTGGAACGGGCTGGGGAAAAAAAATGTTGGCTTATGCTAATACCTTCTTGTGGGCCTGTATGTTCTCCTTCTACAACAGTATGAATAGAGCAAGCAGGAGATGGTTATTCCTGCGCAGCTGTAGTTCCCATGTATCCTCTTATCCCTGGTACTGCTTTGTGCCTGATAAATAGACCAAGGCTTCCCTTAAGAAGGCCTGTCACACTCTTTGCAGTGTTTTAGTATGTGGTGTTCAGACTCTCAGTTCCTGTGTTCTGAGGTGCTGGTAGAAATGAGTTCTGGACGTCTGGACCGCATAAAGGTAATCATAGTTTCAGATGTGGGGGGGGAATCTAGTTGGGCTTCTTTCTGTGGCATAAATGGATGTTAAAAACTCTAAAACAGTTAAAGAATACAGATAAAATGTATGTGAATTGCTGATGGAACTTGGGGAAACATTGGAAAACTGGTTGAACAGCAGAAGAACTGCGTTGTGTCTTGGAGTTTGAATTGAAGGCAGTTTAACAAACTCTTGAGGTACCGATGTTGCTTTTCAATGTTAACTGGCAGAACTCCTGATTACAGAAATGTTTTTATATATTTTGGCACTAGGTGTAAAGATGTAGTATTATTACTGAGGAAAAAGATAATTACACTCTTTGATTAATAGCTACATACCTGATTAAAAGCTGTGCTTGTGTTCTGGCTTCGTCTAGAGCTAGTCTAGCATCTTTCTCTTTCTTCATCTGTTCCTCAGATGTTCCTGATACCTTTTCTTCCTCTTTCTTCTTTCATACTCCAGGCATTCTTCTGCCATCTCTACTAGCTGCTGACATTCCTCTTCTAACCACATTGCTCCTTCTTTCTGTCTGCATTTTTCTGCTTCTTAGAAACAGATCAACAACAACAATTAGTTGCTCACATACTTCCTATTTAGGAAATGTTTTTTTTTTCCATCAATTACCAATAGCAAGAAAATACTGTTATAATACTGATGTTGCAAGCATTTAATATTGTCTCAAACATGTGAGTTTGTCTTAAATTATAATTGGATTTTTTTTTCCTGTTTGGCACTTAGGTTTTCAAGCCTTCCTCTGCAACTATTTGTTAATTTGTTTGTTTGTTTTGGGTTTTTTGGGGTTTGTTTGTTTGTTTGTTTTAAACTGTAGCTACTGAGATTCAGGCTTTCAGAGCAGATATATAATGAAAACACTAAGAAATGAACAGATGTAGCACAAATGTTATTATTGCCAGTATCTTACACAGTGGTATTATAGCTAGGCTGTGGAATTTCTCTTCTTCAGGCTGCAGGGACTGTGGAAGAGAGGACAGTTGTTACCATATCTATTTAATAGAGGAGGAGCAGCTGAGCTACTGCAAGTTTGGAACTTAGTGTCACAGGCATTCCGTGGCAGACAAAGGCTAAGTCTGTCTTTACATCCAATCAGGTCAATTACCTGCAGCTACAGTAATCATTAGCCTCTCTCTAGACTATCTGCTCCTTTTTGTTCTTCTGCCTGTCTCTTCTGGAACTGCAGAAGCTTTCTCTGATAATCCTCCTGCTGCCAAATAAGTTCTTGCGCTACTTTCTCTAATTATGACTTCTTTGCTGCCACCTCCACTCTTCTTCTAGTTTCTGTAAACTAGAACATAAATGATTATTTATTATTGATTGCTAGAGCAACCTTGGATTTGCTGAACATTTATGCCAGAAGAGCAGGTTCTAGCCGAAAGAGCTAAGCAGACTGCCGAAGTGAAGGGAGAGAAATGAGAATAAAGAGAGAACAGGTGCTTGTTAGTGATACTTAGCATACATCTGGTTGCTTCTGCAAATCAGTATTAAAAAAAATAGATTATGGCCTACTTTCCTTCACACTGTGTGTAAAGGGGGCAAAAACCTGAATTGTAATTTTTACATGTGTGCTTTTGAGGAGGAAACGAGGACTATGGGATACAGGTACATTGTTCACATGAAACAAAAATGTGGAGACAAGGGATGGAGGGGAGCACAGGGACAGCTAGGAAAGTTCAGACAAACAAGAGCTGGAAGAAAAAATTGTGAAGCGTCTTTGTGGAACAAGAATGCAAGCCCAGAACAAGAACCCAGGCTGTGCAGCAAAGAAGGATGCAATTAAAGCCTTGGCTGAGCGTGGGTGAACAGGATTGTGGAAGAAGCAGAGAGCTGAAGAAGGAATAGAAGAAGCAGGAGCACTGGCAGGGGAAGGCCCGTGAGCAAGTCTAGACGACGTAAACAATGCCTGGCGGCCCCACTGATGGAGGGGAATTCCACCTGCCTGGCAGTTGGGAAAGAAGATACAATAGTACTATATAAGCTGCCTGTTGGTTAGAGTAAATAATTCTGGTTGCATCACTGACTGGGGACTGTGCCTTCGTACACTACAAATGGTGCCCATGTTGGCATTAATCAGGAGACTAGAGCCATCTGGAGCGGTAGCGCAGCCCGATGGAACCAGGGATCGCCTCCAGGACTGACCTCACTGCTGGCCCATCGCCTTCTGCAGGAGGGAGGTGAGTGATCAGGAACCATGGGGAGCACTCTGCCAAGAGAGGAGCAGGGAAACACTCTGCCGAAAGAGCAGCAAATGAATCTAGAACTACTACACTATATTTTAAAAACTCAAAATCGATCTGTACCTACCCTGTCTTTAGTAACTTTCTTTGGGTATGAAAAAATGTCCCGGACTATCCCAAGACCAGCACCTTTGACAAGACACGTGGGACCAAATTGGCACAAAGCTTTGGGACGCTGCTGCAGGGACAGATAAAGCTGCAGCTCAGCCTTTACCACTTTGGCGGCTGATATTTGAAGCCCTGGTAGAGCTCCCCAAAGGGACAAAAAACACCTCTGAGGAGAGTCCAACACGTCCTTCTGCCCCGCCGCCACCCTGCCTGGACAATACTGATGTTGACAGAGAGTTTCTCAGGAGACCCATTTGATCTTGGGCCCACTGACCCAGAACCTAATCTATTTCTTTCTGATAATAAAAAGAAGGCGGCAGTGGGGAATGATCTAAACCCCTTGAGTAATTGTCGTGGTGTGTGGGATAAAAGTCGAAAAGAAGCCTTAGCTAAAGGCGACACAGACATTTTGCAGGCATTTTCTATTATTTATCGTGAAAATCGACCCAGAATGTGGGAGGCTTCGAGTTACGATCATGTTAAAGACCTGAGGAAATCAGTCAAAGATTATGGTCTCCAGTCAGGACATACCATGAATTTACTAACAGCTCTTGGTGACGGGTATGTCATGACTCCTCATGATTGGAAACTGTTGTTGCGTATGGTTTTGTCAGCTGTGCAATATGCTGTGTTCATGACCAAGTACCATGATCTCACGACTGCTGAAGCACTGGATAATTTAACGGGCAATTTAAATCATATTGGTGTGAATGAGCTCGTCGATGAAGGACCTCAGGCTGCTCCCAATGCGCAAGCCCAGATGGACAGACAGTGTTTTGTGTACTGCACATGATAAGATGGGTACCTGATACAGCTGCTCCAGAAGCTTCCTTTTCTGCTGGCACATAAGCGCCTGGAGAACCCTATATAAAATTCCTTGATTGGCTCCAAAATGCAGTAGAGAGACAAGTAGATCACTGAGCAGCTCATGATATTCTTATGAAACAATTAGCCTTCGAAAATGCTAATGCTCACTGCCATAAAGTGTCGCGAACAATTAAGAATGCTAATCCCTCTCTCACTGATATGATAAAATCGTACCAAGATATCGGCACAAACTCATAAGTCTCTTAGCTGATGCGTTATCAACACAGCTCGTTGTGGGGGCTGCTCTGAAGGCAGACTGTTACAATTGTGGAAAACCTGGGCATCTTAAAAAAGATTGTAAAACAGTTAAGCGAGGCAGTCGAGAAAATCGATTCATGGCAGACCGACCGTGCCCCCACTGTGGCCAGGGACTGCCCAGGGCAAGTGACTGCAAATTCAAATTCCATGCTGATGGTCAAACCCTAAGGGGGTTTGGGAAACAGGGGGAGGAGTGCGAGACCATGTGTGATAACAACAAATACGGTCCCAAGACCGCAGAACAACGCTTGGCCAGCATGGTCCCACCAACCACAGCTGGAAGTGCAGGAGGGGACCTGGCCACAGCCCAGTCAGTAACTCTAGATACCACAGCAGTTGTTCTCATCCCCACTGGGGTGATGGGACCTCTTGGAAATGGCAGGAGTGCTCTTTTGTTAGGGCGTTCCTCGACCACACAAATGGGACTTTTTGTTTTGCCTGGAGTAATTGATGCTGATTTTGTGGGAGAAATCAAAATTATTGCTTGGACACTGTCTCCGCCTTGTTTTGTTCCAAAAGGGCAACGAATTGCGCAATTAGTACCTCTCCTCTCCGTGATCAACCCTCGTAAAGGAGGATTTGGGAGCACTGAAAAACCTGTAGTTTTGTGGTCAAAACAAGTATCTAAAGAACAGCCTTTGTTACGTTGCCAAGTCCATGATCGGCACTTTTCTGGTCTGGTGGACACAGGAGCAGATATCACTATCATTAATGTATCAGACTGGCCTCCCGAATGGCCACTGAGAGATCCTACCTCTGCTATTGTGGGGGTAGGAGGTCCTCAGAGACTCAAACAAAGTGCAAAGATATTAACTTTCAAGATACCTGATGGTTGGATTGCACAAGTAGCTCCTTATGTCCTCCGGGTGTCCTGTATATTATGGGGCGGAGACTTGTTAAGCCATTGGGGAATCTTCCTGAAAACAGATTTTCAATAGGGACTGTTGACAAGCAGCAGGCCCTTCAATTGAGATGGAAATCACAAAAACATGTTTGGGTAGATCAATGGTCCCTGAAAAAAGATAAACTGCTGCATTTGCATGACTTAGTACAAGAACAATTGGCCACAGGCCACATTGTATCCACTACCAGTCCGTGGAATGCTCCTGTATTTGTAATACCAAAGAAAAGTGGCAAGTGGCGACTGTTGCATGACCTTGGAGCTATAAATGCAGTCATTGAGCCCATGGGTGCGCTACAGTTTGGTCTTCCTTCACCTTCTATGCTGCCTCAAAATTGGCCAATAGCCATCATTGATCTCAAAGACTGTTTTTTTTGCTATTCCTCTACACCCAAAGGATGCACCCCGGTTTGCATTCTCTGTACCATCTGTCAAATCAGGAACAGCCAACACAATGATATCATTGGACTGTGTTGCCACAAGGTATGCTGAATAGCCTGACTATCTGCCAATTAACTGTAGCAAATGCTTTGCAACCTGTCCGAAATGCAAACCCTCATGTTATAATTTGTCATTACATGGATGACATACTTTTAGCCACCGAAAAGGACAAAGACCTGCAGACAGTCATCTGCCAAGTCCGCCTTGCTGTCCAAGGAGCAGGCTTGCAGATAGCCAAGGAAAAGGTCCAACGTGTACCACCCTGGAAGTATCTAGGATGGAAAATTACAGCTCACACCATCCAGCCACAAGCACTGCAGCTGGCATTACAAATAAAGACTCTGAATGATCTGCAAAAATTGTTGGGAACTATCAGCTGGCTTAGACCTTTTCTGGGTATCACTACACAGGACCCCCTGTTTCAATTGTTAAAAGTGACCCTGACTTGAACTCTAAAAGACAGCTGACACCTACTGGACCACAATGTCTACAGCAAGTAATAGAGGCTTTACAGACACCTTTGACACTTTTTACACTTTGACAAGTCACTGTCTTTGTTTAATGCTTCCAGTGTACTCCATCATCATTCAGAATACCTTTCAGCCATATGCCCTTCTAAGCAAAAGAAGACCCACTTATGATAATAGAGTGGCTCTTTTTGCCTCATACATTTACAAAAACTGTAACTTCACGATTGGAAATGTTTGCCAACTTGATTCAGAAAGGTCATCACCAACTTCAGACTCTAAAAGCCAGTGATCCAGAATTCATTTATATTCCCACCAACAAAAAAGACTTGGACTGGATGTTAGCAGAATCTCTCAGTGTGCAGACTGCACTTGCAGACTACAGTGGTCAGATTTTAATCCATTTACGTAAACATTCTCCATTAAATTCCTTAGAAGAATTACCTCTGACTAATCAAACCTTATTTTCTCATATCCCACTTTCTAATGCAGTTACAGCATTCACAGATGGTTCCAGGAAAACACACAGAGCAGTGGTCCTTTGACGATCCACCGAAAATCTCTGGAACCAAGATATAAAATGTGTCGATGGATCGCCCCAAGTTGTTGAGCTTGCAGCTGTTGCGCGTGCTTTTCAGCTTTTTTCTGATGTAAGTCTCAATATCATAACTGATTCTTTATATGTTACAGGAATTGAATTGTTCAGCGTATAGAAGGCGCTTTCCTAAAGGAAGTCAACAACCCAGTGTTATTCACACAACTTAAAAAATGATGGCATCATGTTTCCTATCGTAAATTACCCTATTACATCATGTGTATATGGTCACACACCTCTCTGCCAGGACCACTAGCCGAGGGCAAGCGTGCTGCTGACAAAGCCACAGTCGCCCTCGCCACACAGCAATTATTTCAACAAACACAGCTCTCTCACAACTTTTTTCACCAAAACAGGAAGGCACTACAAAAGCAATTTCAGCTAACCACAGACCAAGCACATAATATTATCTTGACATGCCCTGAATGCCAATCTATAGCCCCGTTGCCACAATTGGGAGTTAACCCACGTGACACCTCACCACTGCAAATTTGGCAAACAGATGTTACACATTTTGGAGAATTTGGTGGCCTCAAGTATGTACATGTCACTGTTAATACTTTTTCTAATTATATCTTTGCCACTGCACATACAGGAGAAAAGAGTGGAGATGTCCAACGACACTGGCTAGCAGCCATCGCTGCTATGGGTATACCAGAAACCATCAAGACAGACAATGGCCCTGCATATGTATCTAAACCCACACAACTCCTTTTACAAGAATGGGGCATTCGCCACATCACTGGAATTCCACACTCCCCTACTGGGCAGGTGATGGTTGAGTGTGCCCATCAAATGTTAAAACAATTGCTAATTAAACAAAAAAGGGTGAGTCTGGAAGATCCACCACAGGAACAACTATGGAAAGCCACTTTTGTTTTAAATTTTCTAAGCAGAGACAACACTGATATGGCACGAGTGAATCAACACTTCGGAGCTTCCCCAATGTTCAAAACACAGCCAATGGTCCTTATTCATGATATGGCCACTGGACAATGGGAAGGCCCTATGCCATTGATAACTTGGAGGCGAGGATACACTTGTGTTTCCACAGGAAATGGTCCCAAGTGGATCCCAGCACGATATGTTTGACTGCATCTAGATGCCGAACTATCAGAAACAACAGAGCAATGAACCTTTTCTGTTCACAAAAGTATCGTTGGTTTTAATGTTATCAGGCCTGATAGTTCTGTTAGTGATTACGTTATGTTTGCCATGTTTGTTTCCCTGTGTTACAAAAGCGTAAATCAAGTCATGTATGCTCAAATGCACACTGTACTTGCTTTGCAAAGTATGATGTTAGAAAAAGAAGTGGATGTAGAAACCAGCCATAGCATAAGAGAGTTATAAAAATCAATAAGCTTAAAAGTATAGTTAATAGTAGTTTTATAGTTTATAGTAGTTTTGATAGTATAGGTTCAATGTAATCATTAGGATGTAATATACATGTATAATAACACAAGCAGCACTCTGTACATTAAACAAAAAAGGGGGAGATGTGGGTGAAGAGGATTGTGGAAGAAGCAGGAGCACTGGCAGGGGAAGGCCCGTGAGCAAGTCCTAACGACCCATCAGCAGTGCCTGGCAGCCCAACTCATTGAGGGGAATTCTGCCTGCCTGGCAGCTGGAGGTTGCAGGGGCCTGTCGGTTGGGAAAGGAGATACAATAGTACTATATAAGCTGCCTGTTTGTTAGAATAAACCATTCTGGTTGCATCACCGACCGGGGTCTGTGCCTTCATACGCCACAGCTGAGATTTATGTGTAAACAGAATGGCGGCCAAAATGGGCTATTTTTGCAGGAGGATTCACGCTATGAGTAAGGAGCATGAAAGAAAGTCCAGGAGGTTCATGAAGTGAAGGAATAATCTTTTTATTTTGAGAACTAGAAGTTAAGGGCTATCAAACTAAAGATCTGCTGTTTCACTGAGTGCTATTTAAGGTAAGTTCCAAACTAACTCAGGGTTCTCAGTCCAACAGTTTGACTTCAATGCCTACTTGCTTTTCCTGAAATAAAGTTGAGTTATGACACTAATATTGAAAAATGCTTCACAAGGCAGATTTGTCCTTTCTTTTAAACTACCTGATTAAAAGATGCTACTTCTACAAATCTGATTCTCAGGAATGCCCGTGACCAGGGTATTCAATCATTTTTAGGTAGGCTGCAGCTCTTAAAAATCACCCAAGGAGGTCGCTGTTCTCCCCAGTAAATGCTACTCGTAATGAAAAAGTAACTAGAGGAAGAAAATAGAAGCAAAGCAATAAGATGCTGTTAGAATGTGTTGTTTTGTCTAAGCAGAACCCTTCAAAAATGAATAGAAATGTGATAATTACATTACACCAGAGCTTGTTTCTGATACTGATGGTGTTAAAGGAGAAGTCACTACCTTAGCTTTCACGCACCACCCAAGTCTTTAACTGCTAGGACCAGGGTCCCTTTGCAGGGGGCAATCCCAGTGGGCTGATGGATGCCCTTTTTGACTCCTCACACACATGCACACACTTGCTATTGGGTGTGCTCCCTCTTTTTTCAGGCTCAGACAGCAGAGTCTCAGGTGTCAGATTTTAGAGAAATAAGTTATTTAATTGAAAGGTACAGCAGCGAGGTCAGCCTGGGCTGGGTTCCTCTCAGAAGGCAGGGACCTGGAACAAAGAAATGCCTGGGCAACTATACCCTTGTAATCTTTACACCTGCCCCTCACCTGCATACCATTCCTTGCCGTGTAGCACAAACTGTATCACTCTTAAGAACGAGCAGTTTTCTCCACAATATGCCGCTAATTTCAGAGAGAAGAGGCCTAGCTAAGACATAAAATTACAGAACAGTAATTGTTTTACTTCAAACCAGGGCATGTTCGTGTGTCTTTTAGGCCAACGGTGATTTTTGGTCTGGGGTCTTCTAACAGCTTATTAGATTCTTTTTCTGTTTCCAGACAGGCAGGCTGTTGAATGTTCTTACCTTATTCATTTGCAGTCTCTGCTGACAGTTGTAGCCTCCTTATATTCTGGTTTATGCTTCTTGTGCATCTCCACTTGCTGGCAGAAGATGGAGAACTGAAAAGTCCCAGAATTACCAAAACATCAGTGTGTTATCAACATTTTTCTTATACTAAAAGACTAACACAGCAGTGTACCAGCTGCTAGGAAAATTAACAAGAAAATTAACTCTATTGTGGCCTGAAGGCTTCAGCAAATCCAGCTACTCATGCTAAGTAAAGCTAAGCAAACAGCATAAATCACACCATATTATAACCCTAAGTGATTTATTCATATTTAAGCTTGCTTATTTAAGCTAAACAACTAATATCTTTCAACAGTGGGTTCCCCAGACATTTGCCCTAAGTATTTGTTGTGGGGTTTTGGTGGGTGTTTTTTTTCCTCCTAAAGCTATGTCAGCAGAGGTGAAAAGCAAAAGTGCTCTTGCTGCATTTTTTTTGTAGTATAAAATTCTTGTATCATTAAGGAATAACCTACATTGCTATGAAAGGTCTTTATAATCATGCAGTTGTATCCATGCTGAGATTTTCCTCAAAGAAAATGCTCAGTAGTGGTTTTGGTGCTGTATGGAAAGTGTGGAATATAATCTTTGTGAACTCACTGTAAGCTAGGTACAATTGGTTCAAAAACTGAATTTGTTAAGTGATTTTGATTCATTGTTGACACTGTTTTTTCATTAGTGAGTTGGAAAATCGTAATTTTAGGAGGGACTCAGAAATCAGAGTAATGATAAATGGATGAAAGTATTTACAAAAATGAAGTTAAATTAGTAGACATACACATACTATTAAACTTGGGGAAAAAAATCTAATGTGCTGGTAAAGGATGGAACTTTATGTATGCACATGTTCCAGATGAAAAGGTCTGTGGTGTTATCCTCTAGTTTGGAATTTGCCTGGGGGTACTGGATCAGTTTTGTGGCTCCTTTACACTCTTGTGTGTTTTTAGTCTTCTATTATATTGGAAGATGCTTTGTTATATATATATTTCTTCATGCTGGAACATTGATGGGTTTGGATACATAGGCTTTGCTGACAAAAAGCAAAGACTGCTGTAGTTCCCTGTCATCATTCAAATGTTCCCAATTGAGAACATTATCCTCACTAACCACATCTCCATGCTCCCATTTTCCAGATCTGCCTTCACTTTTTCCATTTGTTCCTGCTGCTGTTTCTTTTTCTATTTCTGTTGTTCTTTTTCCTTCCTCTTCTACTCCACTTTTAGCTGCTGCCTTTCCCTGTTTTGTGCTCTTACTTTTTCCTGTGCAGATTTCTCTTCTTGCCATTTTCCAGGAGGAATCTGAACAGGAATATAATGAATAATTCACTTAAAGTTGACATTCTGTGAATGATGGATTTATCTGTTATTGAAATTTAAAATTCTTGAGGTATATTTTATGTACTTATTAAAGTAGATTTGACTTACATGGGACTTTTGCTGTCACTGTGGCCAACAGTGCCTGTTTTCTCTATATGGTGAATGTTTTACTATTTTTTTTCTTTCAGTAGGTACTTGCCTTTGTGATATCTGATGACTCCTCTGTTAATTTTCTAGTATTTAGTGTTCCAATAAGTTACTACTTAAGCTGTATTCTTTGAACCTCTGCCACCTTCCTCGTTTCCCCTGTATTTTTTCTAAATGTTCATATTTTCCTGTGTATTTTTTGTGAATGTTTTGGGGTTGTAATGCATGAGGGAGCTAGCACGGGGCTTTCATCTAGTCCCAGAAAAGAGGACGCTCTGAGAGAATGAGTGAAGTTGAAAAAAAACCTAAAAGCCTGGTAGCTGATACATCAGCTGGAGGATCACTGTGGTGAAATGGGAAGACTACAAACAGTCCGTATTTTGCCGGTTCTAAACCAGAACTGTGGAAAACTTTTCCAGGAGCTGCAAGGGGTTTAAGACAGAGCTCTGCAGCGCATCTGACAAGCCTTTTTTACCATGGTCCATGCTGTCGCGGTGAAAGAAGGCATCGGGGAGCGCTTCTGTGCCACAGGTTTGCTTTGGTTTTAAAAGATTTATGGTCTGGGAATGCTGGCTGTTGGCGGGCCTCCCCGCCT